AACCCCGGAATGAACTTCCTTCATCTTCCGATGTCTCGAACACTTCTCTCCACCTGTTGCGGTTCCTGGTCTCGAAGTACTCCTCCTCCTCAGAGTCCATCTCCCCTTCCCCTTCCGAGTCCGGGAAGCCTTCCAACTCCTCCTCCTCATCAGTGGTCCCAAAGTATTCCCTCCGGAACCTCTCCACAGGCTGAGGTTTCCTTGGGAACCTTTGATGGAACGTTTCTATCAATACCTCGTCATTGATATCTTCGGCCATTACCCAAGTGTTTTCTGACTCCGGTTCTCCTTCCCACGCTACCAAATACTCCACCTGATTCCCCTTCCACCTGGCGTCGAGGATTTCTGCCACATGGCTGCTGCATTCTCTTTCTTCTATGACCGGTCCCCGAGTGGCCATCCCTTCTCGTCCCCCTTCGTACGGTGACAGTAACGACCTGTGAAATACTGGGTGCAGTTTCATGTGGTTGGGTAACCGGAGCCTGAAAGCCACTGGGTTGACCTGTTGAATGACCTCAAAGGGACCCAACCTCCTGGGTCTTAATTTCTTACAACCTCCTTTGAACGGCAACCCTTGGGTTGACAGCCACACCCTATCTCCCACCCTTATGGTTTCACCTTCCCTTCGGTTCTTGTCTGCTTGCCTCTTGTATTCTTCCTTCGCCCTTTCTAAGTTGAGTTGGAGCTGACAATGGATTGCTTCCATTTCTTCTACAAAATGCTCGGCTGCCGGGACGCTCCATCTCTCCCCCTCTCCCCTGGGAAAGCCCTGGGATGACACCCATAATTAGCCAAGAAGGGGCTCATCCCTGTGGACACATTCTCGGCATTGTTGTAGGCAAATTCCGCCAGCGCCAACTTTTCTACCCAGTCATTCTCTCTGTCATTGACATAACACCTCAGGTATTGCTGGAGGACACCGTTTGCTCTTTCCGCCTGCCCGTTGGTTTCAGGGTGCCGGGCAGTCGAAAAATTGACCTCCACCTGCAGTAAGCTCATGAGCTTCCTCCAGAACCTGGAAGTAAATTGTTTTCCTCGGTCTGAGACCACCCTCAATGGCACCCCGTGCAACCTAAAAATGTGTTCTACAAATAACTTCGCTGTCTCTTCCGCCGTGACTGCATGCGAGCAAGCTACAAAGTGGCACATCTTTGTTAGTAGGTCCACCACCACCATGATGGCTGTTTTCCCTTTGGACTTCGGCAGATCAGTCATAAAATCTATCGACACTGCCTCCCAAGGTCGTTCTGGGGTTGGTAAGGGTTCTAATAGCCCCGCCGGCGCCCGCCTTTCCCCTTTGGCTCGCTGGCATTGCTCGCACCCTCTTACATACTCACGTACATCTTCCCTCACCTTGGGCCACCAAAATTCCCTGGTGACCAACCACATGGTTTTGTGTTGTCCAAAATGCCCCGCCGTAGGGCTGTCGTGCAACTGCTTGAGTACCCTCCCCTTAAGTCTCCTTCAGGGATATACAGTGCCCCTTTGTAATACAAAGCTCCATTTCTTTCCTCGAAACCCCTGGTTCCTCTCCCTCACCCCTAAGACCTCTGAGCTTATTCTGGGCGTATTCATCATTCTCTGTTTCCTCTACCAGTTCTCTTTGTCCCACCAATGCCGCCCCACACACCCAGCGGTCCTCTGGAATGACATGTCTCTCTTCGGGTGCTCCCTCCACTCCAAATATTCAGGTTTGCGTGAGAGAGCGTCCGCCCTAATGTTCTCTGGGCCTGGCACGTAACAAATCTCAAAGTTAAATTTGGAGAACTCCTGGGCCCATCTCACTTGCCGTTGGTTGAGCACTCGTGCCGTTCTCCAATACTCTAGGTTCTTGTGGTCAGTGCACACTTGCACCTTATGTTGTGCGCCAATTAGCAGGTGCCTCCATCTCCGGAACGCCTCATGAATGGCTAGTAGTTCTCGGTCATACACCGTGTAGTTCCTCTCGGATTTGTTCAGCTTTCGCGAAAAAGGCACACGGTCTCCACTCTGACTCCTCCTTCCCTGGCTGCAGAAGCACCGCCCCAATCGCTCTGTCTGATGCGTCAGTTTCCACTCTCATCGGTTTTTGTAAATCCACATGCAGGAGTTGTTGTTCCGAGGCGAAGGCCCTTTTAGTTCCTCAAATGCTCGCTCCGCCTCCTCAGTCCAAACGAACTTCTTCTTACTGCTGAGACAGTCCGTAATGGGCGCCGTCAGGTGGGCAAAGTTTCGGATGAACTTACGATAGAAGTTCCCAAATCCTAGGAACCTCTGCACATCCTTCCTTGTTTTGGGTGTTTTCCATTCCAGCACCGCCTGGACCTTGCCGGGATCCATGGCCAATCCCTTGTCTGACAGGCGATACCCCAGGAATTCCACCTCCTTGGTATGAAACTGACACTTCTCCAGTTTCACCCACAGCTGGTTGGCTTGCAGCCTGCTCAACACTTCTCTGACGTCTCTCACATGCTGCTCCTCATTCTCAGAATACACCAACACGTCGTCTAAGAAGGCCACACAATTCTTGTAAAGCAAAGGCCCCAGGACGTGGTTCATAAACGATTGAAAGCATGCGGAGCCTGCTTGGAGGCCGAAGGGCATAACCAAATATTCAAATGCCCCTAAAGGGGTGAACATGGTGGTTTTCCATTCATCCCCCTTCCTTATTCGTATCAGGTTGTACGCCCCCCTTAGGTCCAGCTTTGTGAAAATCTTTCCCTTCCGCACCCTTGTCAAAATGTCGTCAATCCTGGGCATAGGGAAGGCCACTGGTTCTGACACTGCATTTAAGGCCCTGAAGTCACACACCAGCCTCGGCTTGTTCGTGTTTTTTTATCCACAAAAACACTGGGCTGCCCCCACCGCCCTGGACTCTCTGATGAACCCTCTCTTCAGGTTCTTGTCAATGAACTCTCTTAGCTCCTGCATCTCTCTGTCTGACATGGCGTACAGCTTGCCTACAGGGAGCTGTGCCCCAGGGAGTAAATTGATTTGACAGTCAAAGGGTCTATGCGGGGGTAGTTGGTCAGCTTCCCTTTCGCTGAAGACGTCGCGGAGATCTGCGTATTGTCGTGGTACCTTCACGTTCTCCGTTACTTCAGTCCCTGCTAGGGTGGCTTGGGCCCCTGCCAAACCCTTTCCCTCTTTGCAGTGTTCTAAGCAATGTGCTGAACCAAAAGAAACCACTCTCTGATGCCAGCCCACCAGCGGATCATGTAACGCTAGCCAGCTCATCCCCAATATAATGGGAGCTCCTCCCAAGGTGGCCACATTAAACGCTATCAGTTCGGTGTGCCTTGCTACCTTCATTATCATTGGGACGGTCTGCAAGCTGACTTCTCCTCCCAACAGCTCCCTGCCATCGATCGTGGTCACCTGCAGGGAGTTGCTTAAAGGGATCGTCTGTATCTGGTGTTCAGCTGCAAACTCTTTGCTCATGAAATTGCAGGAGCTGCCTGAGTCCAACAGCGCCTTTATCTTTAGAGGGTGTCCGTTTGGCAGCTCTAGCGCCACTTCTATCACTAGGGCGGGTTTAGGAGGTTCTGGCGTGGGCACTCTCACTGCTCTTTGGCCTGGCTGCTGTGCCCCGACAGTGGCAGCCAGGCGTTGGCTTTTACTTGCTCCGGTATTTCTTCCTCTCTTCCCTCCACAGCTCCTACCATCCCTTGCCATTCCTTCCTCTGGGGGCAGACTCTGGCAAAGTGACCTGGCTGTTGGCAGAGATAGCATTTCCGGGCGCCTTTTCCCTCCTTCTTTCCCCCTCACTGGGCTTTGAAACTGCACGGCGCGCGCTGTTCCGATTTCCATCGGCTCTGCCGGCGGGAAAGTTGGCTCTGGAATGTCTGGAATGCGGAACTCCTTCCAACGTTCCCCTTTCCCTTCCCGCCTCTCCAATGCTCTCGCCTCCTGGCGCGCTCCTATGGTCAGCGCTGATTTGGTCAGCTGGTCCATAGACTCCGCCCTGGGCGCCCGGGAAAGTTCGTCTTTCACAGCCGAAGAAAGCCCTTCTTCAAAGAGCATTTGAATGGGTTCCGCCGATAAGTCCCACCCCAATCTGTGAACCAGCATGGTGAACTCAGTCCAGTACTCACGGACAGATCGGCTCCCTGTTTGCAAGCCATTAACTGTCTGCGCACCACTCCCTGTTCAATATCGCTGGAAAACATCAGATCCATGGCGCGAAAGAACTTCATCGTGTCCTTTAGGACGTCACTATTCGCTGCCATCAGGGGTCTAACCCAGTCTCTCGCCCCTTTTCAAGATGCTCAATCACGAAAGCCACTCGTGATTCCTCGTCAGGGAATTCATCAAACTGCAGATTGAGGGCATATTGCATCTCTGTCCGAAAGCCATGATAGTCTTTGGGCTCCCCCCCAAACTTCTGCACCAATCCTGGTACCTTTCTGGCGAGCTGGGTGGCTTTCCCTTTTGTCTGCATCCTGAGCCCTCCTCTCCTCAAGCCTCGCCGTCTGCAGCGCTAGCTGGACCTCCAACACCCGGTACCTTTCTTCCAGGCTTGGACCCGCTCCAGCTCCTGCTTCTCCGGTTCCGGCTGGGTTGCTCATGATGCCTTCTCCTGCACAAGCTGCTTTCAAAGACTGTCGGAATGCTGTGATGGGATGATGAGCTGCTTGTGCGTAAAATCGTATCCCCTCAGAGTTTGTTCAAGTCCACAAACCTCTGTCTGTGACGGAGCCCCTCAGACATGGCTCCTCTAGTCACTAGCAGATTCCGACAGTGGTTGCTTTCGGAATCGCTTCCAACATAAAAGCTCCTTAACGGAAACACGTCTTCTGGACTCTCTGCGTGTCAGTTTCCGGCGAGGAGTGGGTGTCCCTACAGGAGGTCCTGAAACCTCCCCACTGTTTTCGCTGGAAGTGTCTCTGAGCCATCCCTCCAGCTCACTTTCCCTCAGCTCAGCTCCTCTCCCCCTACTGGTTCCCTCTTCAGCTGCTGAGTCTCTCCCAACCTGTGTGAGCCCTTTCACCTCCCTTCCTTCCGATGGCAGTTCCCTGACACCGCCCTTTCTATATTGAAGCTGCAGAACAAGCAGGACTCACCCATACTGTTACGCTGAGGTTTTTTGGTGGGGGCTCAATACAACAAAGACGATCTGCATCCCTCCCCAGCTTCAAGTTAGAGATGTGGATTGCGCTGGCCATTTTGCAGCCAGCAGCTTATCACCCCTCAAACAAGATCCTGCCTTTCTCTCTGCAATACCCTTGCTAATGGCCATTTATTTGGGAGTAAGCCCCACTGAACACAGTGTGGCTTAGGTTCAAGATGAGCATCTTGGCTCAACTATTAAGGCCAGCCAGAATTTGTGTAACCCAGCTTTTGACATACAGTACTATAAATGGAGATAAACACCAAAAATTGCATCTGCCTAACTGTAAAGTTGCCTTCAGCCCCAGTTCCAAAATCCCTGCTCCAAAGTTATCATTTATCACACATCAACACTGGAAAAATGAAATGTGCTTGATCACCTAGAAATGCAACAGCAGCACCCAGGAATTTTGACCATTTACTCAATTCTATGTGCAGTGTAATGCCGGCAGCATAAAAAAAAATTCCAAGGAGTACTGAAGCCAAGGAATCTGAAATATTTCTCGAGCCCTAGCATCCATGTTTAAAAGTTATCCTCCTTCCGTTCTTCAGTTTGGGGAAGAACATAAAACCACAGCTAGTACCTTTCCATTGATTTCCAAGATGATGGTTATATACCCAACATTTTAGCTCACTTGTACTGCTAACTGAAACATGAGGAAGTGCCAATTCCTCCCAAACAAATACAATACTCAGCACATAACAAATGTACATGATTCGTGCCACAATAAATATGCAAATTACTCTCCCACAAATTTTTAACAGCTTTTCAGTGTGGTACTTAAAAAAAATTAGTTGCATGCAAAACAGTAGAAATCTCTATTTGGGGAAGATGAATTTAAATAAGAAAGACAAACTGTAATATGTCAGCACCTAGGTCTGCAATACAGCAAACATCTCAGGTTCCCACCATTCCACAACTTTAGAATGTCTAAGGAAACTGGCAATAATCTGAGGCATCTGGGCTTATAGCCAGGAGTCCCCAGCCTAATAAAAGCTCTGTGTACAACTGGGCTTTGGGTAACAGCCATGCTTTTGTATACAAGTTTCCTCTCAACACCAGCATTTTCATACTATTTTCCACTAGGACTTCAAAGTGATTAAATGACAAGGTGCAAAACAAAAAATGAATATTGTGCAGCCAAATACTTCAAACTTCTGTTTCTTCCAAAAATGGGTATTCTCAGAAGAATAATGAAACAGCCAAATCTTCAGAGTATGCAAAGCCTGTTAATGTGTGAACTAACATTATTTAGACAGATTGGCTTTTAATGTTATAATAATGTGAGAGTCAAAAAGGGAGAGGGAAAAGTAATCCAGATGCACTACACTAGATCGTAAATTGCAAAACTTTTTCCTGTTATTAACTTGTTTTGAGAAATTACAAAACAAAAAAACAAGCACTGTGTTCTTCTAGCAGATTATATCCATTATAATAGCTCTGCAAACCCTACATTTTCCCATACACATACACGGCTTTGCTTGTTGCTGTGTGTACATATAACACAACACAAATTGGCCAATACAGGGGTGTCACAGTAGGGTAAAGCCCAATAGGACAAGACCCTAGGACAAGGGTCAGATCTACCATTACTACATGGTTCAGAGCTTGGAGAAAAAAGCTGCAAGTGCATTGCAGATGGCCACCAACTTGGATGCCTTTAAGAGAGGATTAGCCAAAACTCAAGGACAAGGAAATCAAGACCTCCTCGTCATCACAATGGCTATGCTTTACCTCCAATATCAGAGGCAGTGTGCCTCTAAATACTAGTTGCTGGGAATCACGGGTGGGCAGAATGCTGTTGTGCTTGGGGGATTCCCAGAGGCAGCTGGTTGGCCACTGTGAGAACAGGATGCTGGACTAGATGGGTCACTGGACTGATCCAGCAGGGCTTTTCTTATGTTCTTACTGTTCACACTCTCATACAATAGACCTGAGACATATGTTCCCAAACGGTTGATGACTACTGTGGTATAACTTTAGCTTATAGTGGTTGTTTTGAACTGATGCCACTAGTCTCTGTCCTCACTTAAGTTGGGAATTGATTTGTGCCTCCACACTCCAAATTCTGTTCAGTTCATCTAGTGGAGGGAATAATTTGTCCCCCAACTGCTTATAATAAATTGAGATCTGTTTTTCCAGCTGCCTAGATATTTCAAGATTGCCCAGAGATGGTATATCTGAATATATGGCCAAATGCAGCAGAGTAACAATCTAAAATTATATTTTAACAATCTCCAATGTCACAAGCACCTTCTGGAGAGCCAAGTGCCTCACATCTTTCCTAGCCCAAATTTTTCCAAGTAAAAAACTAACTGATTTTAAAGCCCTGAATTGGTGCTGTCTAGTGAGGATATGGATGCAATTTATGGTTGCCAGTTAAGCTTTTTTGTTCAACTTTTGTTGAATACTGCCTGTATAGTACATTCAACAAGATGAGTAAAACCAAGATCAGTGTAAACTAAGTGAAAGATTGTATTTTTCTAGTTTGACTAAACTAGAAAAAGCTGGATAAGAAGTGGATAAGAAGCTTGGGGAATAATCAGGTGCATTCATTCCCCCTTGGAACTCAAACCATCTCTGTAGTCTCAGAAAATTTCCTGTCCCTCCATTCCACTAAAGCTCAGCTGACATTTACAAGATTCACATTTCTGGAAGCAAAGTAGAAGCTAGGGCATGACACACACTGGAGTGAATAAGAATACTAGGGGCTAATGTGCCTCAAAGTCTACTCAACTATGTGAATTTTTATTTTCTGGCATCCACTTTAATTCTTTAAAGTTAGAAAATGCATGAACTAAGTGAATTATTAGTGTGATTGAAGAGACAGTGATTTCTTATTTTTTCTATAAGATAAAACAGCACCAACCTCTTCTTCCTTGCAAGACCAGCCAAAAGGCATCTTTACCTTTTATAACTTTGTTCCAATTACATGCATGACTACATGTGCTCTGCCAACTTTCCATGTCAGAGAAAATTATCTGTCTCAAAGATTAAATGTCATTAAGTCTGTATATGGTATATAAGATCTATGCAAAGGAATTTTAGTTTCACTGAGCCAATATTTATTTCTATAGCACCCCATCTATATTTCTATGGCACTCCATCTATGCTTCTTTAGCAGAAACATCTTTAGCATAAACACACCGATTTATAAACGGGTTGACAAACAGCAGTACAATGGGTAAATATTTTTTAAACGAACCCATTCCCCACAAGCAAACAATTTTAAGACTTCATTAATGCTAGAGTGAGGCAACACACACACATACATACACACCCACACACACACCCACACCCGCTGTACACTGGGTGAGATCCCATGGACAGTAATACTAAAAGGAAAGGGAGTTCATGATGGCTGGGAGTTTGTTAAGAGGGAGATACTAAAAGCACAACGTCAGGCAATACCAATGAGACAGAAACATGGAAGGTGCCTAAAGAAGCCAGGGTGGCTATCTAAATAACTTTTAACTGAGTTAAGATTAAAAAAGGATGTGTACAAAAAATGGAAAAGGGGGGAAACCACCAAAGAGGAATTCAAACAAATAGCCAGCACGTGTAGACACAAAGTCAGAAAAGCTAAAGCACAGAATGAACTCAGGGTTGCTAGAGAGGTTAAAAGCAACAAAAAAGGCTTTTATGGGTATGTCCATAGCAAAAGGAAGAACAAAGAAACAGTGGGGTCACTCAGAGGAGAAGATGGTGAAATGCAGACAGGGGACACAGAAAGAGCTGAACTCCTCAATGCGTTCTTTGCCTCAGTCTTCTCCGATAAAGAAAACAATGCCCGACCTGAAGAATTTGGAGCAAATGATTCAGCAAAGGAAACACAGCCCAGAATAACTAAGGAGATAGTACAAGAATACTTGGCTAGTTTAGATGTATTCAAGTCTCCAGGGCCAGATGAACTGCATCCAAGAGTATTAAAAGAACTGGCAGATGTGATCTCAGAACCACTGGCAGTCATCTTTGAGAATTCCTGGAGAACAGGCGAAGTCCCGGCAGACTGAAGGAGGGCAAATGTTGTCCCTATTTTCAAAAAGGGGAAAAGAGAGGACCCAAATAATTACCGCCCAGTCAGTCTGACATCAATACCAGGGAAGATTCTGGAGCAGATCATTAAGCAAACAGTCTGTGAGCACCTAGAAAGGAATGCTGTGATCACCAATAGTCAGCATGGATTTCTGAAAAATAAGTCATGTCAGACTAACCTGATCTCGTTTTTGACAGAATTACAAGCCTGGTAGATGAAGGGAACGCAGTGGATGTAGCCTACCTTGATTTCAGCAAGGCATTTGACAAGGTGCCTCATGATATTCTTGTAAAGAAGCTGGTAAAATGCGGTCTTGACTATGCTACCACTCAGTGGATTTGTAACTGGCTGACTGACCGAACCCAAAGGGTGCTCATCAATGGTTCCTCTTCATCCTGGAGAAGAGTGACTAGTGGGGTGCCACAGGGTTCTGTCTTGGGCCCGGTCTTATTCAACATCTTTATCAACGACTTGGATGATGGACTCAAGGGCATCCTGATCAAATTTGCAGATGACACCAAATTGGGAGGGGTGGCTAACACCCCAGAGGACAGGATCACACTTCAAAACGACCTTGACAGATTAGAGAACTGGGCCAAAACAAACAAGATGAATTTTAACAGGGAGAAATGTAAAGTATTGCACTTGGGCAAAAAAATGAGAGGCACAAATACAAGATGGGGGACACCTGGCTTGAGAGCAGTACATGTGAAAAGGATCTAGGAGTCTTGGTTGACCACAAACTTGACATGAGCCAACAGTGTGACGCGGCAGCTAAAAAGCCAATGCAATTCTGGGCTGCATCAATAGGAGTATAGCATCTAGATCAAGGGAAGTAATAGTGCCACTGTATTCTGCTCTGGTCAGACCTCACCTGGAGTACTGTGTCCAGTTCTGGGCACCACAGTTCAAGAAGGACATTGACAAACTGGAACGTGTCCAGAGGAGGGCAACCAAAATGGTCAAAGGCCTGGAAACGATGCCTTATGAGGAACGGCTAAGAGAGCTGGGCATGTTTAGCCTGGAGAAGAGGAGGTTAAGGGGTGATATGATAGCCATGTTCAAATATATAAAAGGATGTCACATAGAGGAGGGAGAAAGGTTGTTTTCTGCTGCTCCAGAGAAGCGGACACGGAGCAATGGATCCAAACTACAAGAAAGAAGATTCCACCTAAACATTAGGAAGAACTTCCTGACAGTAAGAGCTGTTCGACAGTGGAATTTGCTGCCAAGGAGTGTGGTGGAGTCTCCTTCTTTGGAGGTCTTTAAGCAGAGGCTTGACAACCATATGTCAGAGTGCTCTGATGGTGTTTCCTGCTTGGCAGGGGGTTGGACTCGATGGCCCTTGTGGTCTCTTCCAACTCTATGATTCTATGATTCTATGACCCTACTA